CGCTTGCCTGGCTCCGTCACCGCTTCCAGATGTTCATCCCCCTGGCCCCCGCGCTCCGCCTCTGCTCCTCGGGAGGGCTCAGCATCATCCCGGGGGCTGGCTGTCCCGCTGGCAGGCTCCGGCGGCTGGCTGAGCCGCTCATCCCCATCGCTGCAGGCCAGGGCGGCGGGCTGCGAGCCCGAGGAATGCGGCTCGCAGCGATCTGGCCTGGCTCCGTCACCGCTTCCAGATGTTCATCCCCCTGGCCCCCGCGCTCCGCCTCTGCTCCTCGGGAGGGCTCAGCATCATCCCGGGGGCTGGCTGTCCCGCTGGCAGGCTCCGGCGGCTGGCTGAGCCGCTCATCCCCATCGCTGCAGGCCAGGGCGGCGGGCTGCGAGCCCGAGGAATGCGGCTCGCAGCGATCTGCGGCGGACCGTGGAAAGTTGCTGTTCTCGCTCATATTCCGCCGCTTGTCCCAGTGCTTGCAGGCTCCCTGGCCGCGCTCAGCTCAGGCTCAGCACTACCTACAACGGAAAAGAGACACGTCACGAGCGCCCGCCGTCGGAAAGGCGCGGGCTTGTCGACAGCAGCTCAGGAGGGCGGCAGTTCGAAGCAGAGCACGGGGAAATGCCCCCCACCCCTCTCGACTCCTCAGTGTAAAAGCAAGGAAGGGCCACATCGGGGTTTGCTGCTTTTGCAAAGGCTGGTGTTTGTTACCCAGTGCAGGGAGATCCGGGGAGGAAAATCCGCCATCGTGGTCCTGAGCCATCAGGGGCTCAGGTATCCACCTTCTCCTCTTCCCATAGCCCCCAGACAGCCCCAGCCTCAAGCTCAGGGGACCCACACTATGCAGGCTGTTGATGCCCCATATGTGGTGGGCAGCTGTCCAGGGCTGGGAACAGGAATGTGGTATGGCTGCTTTTCCCAGGCTGGCTACAGGGGTGCTATTCCCAAGTATTCCCTGCCCGCCAGAAATAGGAGAAATAGGGGAAATAGGAGATAAGTGTGATTTATATTTTTTTTAACACTTCTAAGCAGCTGTGATGTGCCAACCTGTGTGATTCTCCCTGCTGACTCTGTGTTTCTGCAGAGCTTCTTGCCTGCCAGAATAACACTCCTCTTTTCCCGACTCACAAGTACTGCTGAAGGGCGTCCTAGGTTGCCAGCTAAGACTGGCAAAAGTGTCCTCATTGAATATATCCTGGGGTGGTCTCTCTGCAGGACAAGGGAAGGATGCTGTATTGCACCAAATGAGACAAGTAGCTTTTTTGATTAAATGGCACCTTATTGGCAAACATGTCCATTGATGCAAAGTTTGCAAGTGTTACAAGCACCGTCCTTAGCCATGGGCTGTAGCCCCACAGTGCCGTGCAAGCTTTTCTCCTTTGCAATCCCTGCAGCTACAATCAAGTGCCACCAGAAATGACCCCTTCTGGAAGCAGGGGTTTCTGTATGGTGCTCAGGTTAAGCCATGATAACATCTGATTTTGTTTTAAAGCAATATCTGTCCTCACCTGCGCAGGAAGCATGGCTAATCAATTACAGCGGCCAGATGGGACCCCTGGGTTCTCCTCCTCATTCTATTCCTAACTTATATTTCAAGCAGATCATTTAAACTCCCTGCCTCAGCTTCCCTCTCTGTAAACCAGGGATTATACACCACTGCTGAGAAGCCATGAGGGTGCCCAGATGTCAGCAACGGGCTCTGGGTGCTCTCTTGCTGAGCTGCAGCTCTCAATGGCAGTAAAATCACTAATTGCCTGGCCAGTGCAGAGCCCTACTAGCTTTTGGCAACAAGAGGTGCAGGGCTGCAGCTGCCCCTGCTCTGATAACCCCTCACCCTGTGGAGATGCCAGCAGCCTCTTCCCTGATGCTGCTTCCTGTGCACCTGGGCAAGGAGCAAAGGAGAGGTGGGATTTGACCCCAAACACCCCTCTGTGGCCTGGGTATGGGCAGATCCACAGGGCTACGTGCTGAGTTGCTGGCTGAGCAGGACAGATCTCAAGGGGAACCCCAATCCCCATCTGGCTTTGCTCCAGTCCCACAATCCAGGCCATCCTGGACCCAGGATCTGGCCCACTCTCCATGTCCTGCTCCCCACAGCTGGGAGACACGGTGGGCTGGGATGTTCAGAGCCTCGTGCGGGCTGGGTTTGGGGAGGAACGCTCCTCGAGGGCTGCGCATGCCACAGTCGTGAGATGGGGCAGGTCACTCCTCGAGGCAGCGCTGGCAGTTTTACCTCTTCTCCACGTGCATCCGTCTGCATCCCCCGCTGTCACAGAGCGCGCCGCATCGCCGCACCTATGGCCTAGGTGCAGCCAGGCGCTTCCGATCCCCGCGCGATCCCTGCCTGTGACAAGGGATAAGAGAAGGTGAGACCCAGGCCAGAGAGGAGAACCCCGCTGATCTCCTGCCACCCTGCTGCTGCTCTACTGGGCTGTTTCCAAGACCCATCCCATGGCCTGTTCTTTGCAGAGCACTGCAAGCGATCTTCCCTCCGCACGCTTTGTTCTTCCGTGGTTTTCAGCCATGGCAGTGCAACAGCTGAGTGCAGGAGTAATCCTTAGAAAGGGCATCTGACTTCTTTCTTTATGAAGTTCTCCATGACCAATTAAAGCAGAGCAAAGGGACTATGTGGTTGCAGATTTCAGGAGAAACTTGACGATGAACCCACTGAATGTCCAATTTCACCCACCAGATCCACAGAGGGAGGCACCTGTGTTACAGATGGATCCCCCCCCAACAGTCCTCCCAAGCCCCACCAACAAACCAAGAGCAAGATAGGACGTCTTTGAGCTAATTGTAAGCAAATCTGAACCATCGAAGCCATTGGTGAAGCGACATTTCCCTTGCAGAGCCTATTGCACAATGTAGACAGGCAGGGACAGTGATGCTTCCGCATGAGGTGACCCCAGGCCGGAGGACCATGTCTGGTCACTACAGATGGTGTGTCATCTACAGACAATCACCTGAGCTAGCAGGCCAGGCTTGCTTACAGTTGATGGAGACAAATAGACAGGGCACCATTGCCTGTGCGCTGTTAGAGGTCTACCTCAGGCTGGATGGATCGGGCCCCAGATGTGCCACCTGCTTTCCAACGGCTGGAAAGAGCTCACGGAGGAGCTTGGCAGCAAATATCTGTGTCAAGTCACTGTGGAGGGATCTGCTTGCACTCTCTCTTGGGCTTGCCCTCATGGGCCTTCAGCCTCTCTCTCTCAGCCAGCCTGTCCTTCCCTGACAAGAGAAAGGCCAGCATAAACTTCATGGGACACCAGCACATCAGCCTCCTGTGGGCCAGAATCCCACTTACAGGAGCTGAGCCCTCTCAAGGGACATTAAAACAAGCCCCTGGGACAGTCCTCAGGTTCACACATGTGGGCCAAGTCTCCTCTAGTTCTTCTGCCATCCCAAATGTAGAGGAAAGACCTGAAAATCTCTGTCCCACCAAATCCAGGACAGAAAATCAGTCCCAGGCACTTGGCGTTCCCATGCACCGACAGCAGAGCCAAGCCAATGCAGCATCTTCAAGGAATTTACCTGCAAAACTACCAAGGCTCTCCTGAGTGTCATCTCGAGTAATACTTAAAACATAACGGGCCAAATTTCAACTTTCCCGTAGTGAAGGCATAACACAGATACGCAACACAGAGCCAATGCTCAAATCTTTGGAGGAACCTTTCCAGCAAAGCTTTACCGGCCTTTTTCTTCATGTGAGATAAATAATGTGGCTTTTTTGAGTTCATTTTTTAAAAAACAGACAAAGGATTTGGGCTGAAATTCCCCACCTCCTTGCCGTCCTTCCAAAAACTCCAGTAGGAACCAGACACCACCCAAGCTAAGTTCCAGTCCAACAGCTAAAGCTTGGCACAGCTACATGCAACCAGAAAACAGGAAGTTAATGCGGTTAGGAGATGGGCCTGAGTAAGAAATGTTCTCAGACTTTAGCAAGTGTGATGTCACACTCAATATTCCTAACTTTAACCAACTTATATTATTAATATTAAAAAATTAGCATTTCTGTTACACATATAAACTACTGCACTGTGCCTACTCTGTTTCACCCTCTGTGAAGTCTAACTGGGACATTGGTGGTCTGGAACCGAGGAGTCAATAGTTAAGCCCTTAGGTGTGCTCTTCCTTGGCCTGCGTTCCCGCTGGAGAAGAGGCGCTGGGGATGCTCTGGGAGGATGCTTGCACAGACTGTTGCTGAGCCAGGAAGACCATCAGCTTCCAGCGTACCGATCTGAGCAGAGCCAAGAGGAGCGATCCAGGCCTCTCACAGCCTCTTTGAGATTTGTATGACTCCTGTTGGATCCAAGCTCCCTTGCACACTCATGGACGGAGGCTGCCATGTGCACCTGCAGCCTGCAGGCAAGCTGAGTGCACATTGACCCATGGCAAATTACCCAACAAGTCACTAGCTACTTGATTTATGCTTGCGGTGACAGTCACCGCAAGCACACCCAGGTTATGCACGGCAGAGGCTTCCCAGAGACCCCAGAGGAACTGGGAGGTTGGATTGTAATGGGCTGTGGCTCCATTCCCAGCTGCTCATGGTGACGCCTTTTACTGAAATCACAAAACTGGCTCCTGCCATGCTCAGCCAGGCAGCCCAGCCAGCTCGCCCTACATTAGCTGCAGAGGGTCTCTCCTGCTCCACAACCCCATAGAATCATAGAATCATAGAATGGTTAGGGTTGGAAGGGACCTCAAAGATCATCTAGTTCTAACCCCCCTGCCATGGGCAAGGAAATCCTCCACTACACCAGGTTGCCCAAAGCCTCATCCAACCTGGCTTTGAACACTTCCAGGGATGGGGCAGCCACAACTTCTCTGGGCAACCTGTGCCAGTACCTCACCACCCTCAATGTAAAGAATTTCTTTCTTATATCTAACCTAAATCTGCCCTCTTTCAGTTTAAATCCATGGGACAGCCATATGTGGTAGGGCTCGTCTGGGAACTGCCACCTTCCCCAGCTGTGTGGGGCAGGTACGTGGGCAAAGGGGAGACAGGCTGTGATGCCACAACTTAGGCTCAAAGGAGGACAATCAAGGGTGGAGCAGCTGGTTCCAGCTGCCCACATCTGCCTCCAGAAGCAGCTAGAAGGTTACCAACGTCGGACAGAGACTGAAGATGGGCTCTCAATGCCCTTCTGTTAGTTCTGAGAAAGCACCACAGTGGAGCTCAGCCTCTGGCCCAAAGCAGCCACAGCTTCAACTGGGCCAATGGGAGGGGACATGCTGCAGTACTGGGGGAAGGGGCAGAGGGAAGCTGGTATTCAGAGGTCCCCCTCTCTGGGGCTCCCTTCCACTGCCCCAAAGCAGTGCAGCCTGGCAGACGGGAGGCTGAGTTGGACTGCAGGCTGATATTCCCCATGTCCCTGCCTGTTTCATTCTGTTTCTGCTTTGCAAAGCACTCTCCAACATAGGTAAGGGCTAGAAAGTGGTATCTGGGTTCCC